TAGCATATGTGGGGGCTGGACCTGTATTTTACAGGAAAGGAGTGAGCAGAGAGTAGAGTAGTTGTCGATTCTTGTTCTGTTTTCTGTGAATATCTGCCTCACCCTCTCAGACTTTAAGTTGCGTGCGCTACTAAAGAGACGTGTTACCATGGAAACCAAACAATGGTGTAGCTGTATTAACGTCCGAGTGGAAATAGTCGTGTGTAAATCTGATTTTGTCAGAAATCGGGAGAAATGCGGGAGAAATATGACCCCGGGAGGAAATCGGGAGAAGGCAATGAAATCGGGAGTCTCCCGCGAAAATCGGGAGGGTTGACAAGAATGTTGGTATCACATATCACCTATAACCTACTTGTTTGCAACTGCCCTTTTAAGACACTTAAAATCGTAACACTTTTTTACTAAGGTATTTACTTACGTATTTGATGGCGTAAAACCAAAATATCTTTGAAATATCTTCTGCTAAACCACCAACCATATATCAGGCTTCTTTAAATTGCCATGCTATACCCTTCCACCACATTTCCTTAAAATCTGGCAGATAGTTCTTCCATAAACATTCTGATCAACAGACATACAAACAAAAAACCTAACCTCCTTGTCAGAAGCAATAGAGTGGTGCAGGGATGACATGTTTTTGTAGGCTAACCCAGAAGTTAGCATAGCAAGGGCTCCCTCGGAAAAACGTCTATGGGATTCTTCCGACCGCTAAGTTAAAAATGATTATTCAGCGTGATGACGTTGAGTAGTTTATTTAGTCACTTGTTAGCAACTAACGTTTTAAAACACATAGAAGCTTTAAACATTTATGAAAATCTCTTCAGCTTCCGTTAACCACAGATAATCTATCAAGTGTTTAAAAAAAAACACACTCAAAAAAACATTGAATTCAAGACGAGGAAACACGGAAGTGCTGAAATACAAACTCAATTTTGGGTTTTAGGACTTATTTCTGCACCACTCTATCATAATGAAAAATATATTTTTTCCCCAATAAACATTTGGAAGTTGT